ACTCTGTAATAATTCTTTAATATATTACTTGTGTGGTGTAGAAGATAAGTATTTAAGAATGTAATTATGTAAGAATGTTAACACTGTTATAATTCTTTAGTATATTACTTGTGTGGTGTAGAAGAGAATTATCTATGTAGAGATACTGCTTGCAAACCAATGATGGTAAGATGATGTCATGGGGTAGGACTGGATAAGTCTGACTTCTTCCTACTCCATTCAAGCATGTAGTAGGTATAAACAAATTGATATTGGATTAGCATTTGTTGGATATGTGTAAAATTATGTGTGTTGACATATCAACTGTCTTTACATGCTTGAAAGAATAAATCAAATCAAATATATTTGGGGTCCTGTGAAAAACAGGGTTTAATTGTAAAATAGCACTTTTTTCGTACATTTTGTGTCTTCTGTGACCCAGACTACATTTTCAACAACCATTTCTTTCAGCCTTTTTTAATTAGTCATCTACCTAACCTGAGACCAACTGTCTTCAATGGGACTGAGTAGGATGTTAGGTTAGACTCTCCAAGGCACTTTTAATTAGGCTGACTGGTTGGATGGAAAATGTTTAAGTGCAGACATAGTACTGGATATACGTATGGTTAGACGTTTTTGCTCAAGGTGATGAGTGGCTTTGGAGTCTTAAGATTTATGAACACTTGTGTTCAGAGGAGGATACAGTGGGATCATGCCAAAAGAAAATAATCTCCTCTCTCCAAATGCAGTCACATTAAAGTTAATTTTAGACTCATTCATCACTGGCACTTAAGAAGCAATTGTGTCTCTTGAAACCATCTTATTCAACCTTTTAACAGTATAAGTACTTTTAATATTCCAATGCAACCATACCATGGGAAATAGTTTTAAGATTGTATTAAATTATAAATCCATTCCTCAATCTATCCACTTTCAGCTTCTTATCTGGTCCTGCTCACTGGGAATCCCTAATGTTGCTCTCCCAGCGACATCCCAGAGCTCCTAATTAGCAGATGTCCAGGGCCAGAGAGGTTTGTAATCTCGTTAGCTTGTTCTGGGTCTACTTCACGGTGTCCTCCCAGTTGGATAAGCCTAGAATACCTCGACAGGATGTGACCTGGAAGCCCCCTGATCCATCAGCCAAACTACTTGAATTGGCCTCTTTCAACATGAAGGTGAAGTGATTCTACTCTGAGCTCCTTTAGCCTATCCCTGAGGGCAATCCCACCAACACCACAGAACATGCTTGATCTGTTGCACAGAACACAGACGCAGCCCTTTCTAAAGTTACTCAAGGATCAGATGGCTCATGGTGATAGCCAGGAACATCTAATGTTCCTAAACACCCAAATATGCATATTCACTAACTTTCCAGTTCCCAGAAATGGTATGAAGACTGGACTGAGCAAACATCCAAAAGCCCTCCAATATTGTAGCAAGACAACCAGTTCCAGCACCCTGGTATTGCTGAAGACCCCCGTTAGCTGCCAAAGCCCAAAATGCTTCCTCCTTTAGCTTCATAGTTTCATGGACAGGGGGGTGTCCTCAAAGACATTTCTGCTCTGCTCCTCTCTTCATTCTAGTGTCCAAGACCTACAGGAGCAGTTGCCAATTTAACTAAAACGTCCTCAGATACACTTATAATTCAGCATGGTGTTTCATCCAAATAGTCCATGCCTAGCACACAAGTTCAATAACAAAACCACACTTCAGGTCATATCAGGTAGGCAATGCCTCCTACTCAGGCCCTTTAGGGGTTACCAACGAGCTCTGAGGTCTTCCAGCAGACCTCTGGTGTCTGTAAGTGGCGTCCTATTCAGGACCTTAGCTGAATCAAATAAGGCAGAGTACTCTAAACTGCTGTTCAGCATATAGGCTCAGAACTCAAAGTGATTCTCCCTGTCCTCCAGGAAAAACTCCAACACAGAGCTGCTTAGCAAGCAGCCCAAAAATACCCTTACATTGAGCTGGCACCTCTCATCTTGGTCAACTCCAGACAGGGAGACAGTCCAGCTCCAATTAAAGATTATGGTTCTTGAGCTTGTTCTCTAATTGGCTCTTCTCAACCTTCTGCCCTAGTTCTGGCTCCTTCTCCACCGGACAGGTGACAGTGTCTAAGCATCTTTACCTGCTGCCTGACCAGCACCATATCACGGTTGAAGATGAATCCGAGCGCACGATACAATATTTGATTCACACTATGACTTTAAAGCACAGTATATTGTATATATACGTGTAGCTTTATGTTATTTGTACAGTACTGCCTGTCGTTATGTTTCAAGTTACAAAACTTGTGCATCATACCTACTGTACATACATGTACATTCATAATGTATACTACCTGTAGTGGTATCCTACAAATGACCAAATTAATTAATGCAAAAAAAGAAAAAACATGAAACTGTAAACCCCACACTAAAACACAGTTACACAGTATTACCATATCGCGTTCTCATTCATTAGAAAACTTAAGAGAGTAGCACAGCAGCTGAAGGCAACCAATAAACACTGCATGCTAATGAATGACAAAAGTTTAGGTGTTAAATGGGTTGCAGCAACACTGCCTACCTTTTCTCAAAAGTGCTCCAAACACTTCACACAGCAAGCATTAAGTGAGGAGACAGGATCACAGAGTTAGGAAGTGTTGGGGAAACACACAAATGCACACATACACATACACACACACACACGCGCACACACACACACACACACACATACGCATACACACACATACCTACAGAAGCACATATTTTTTGCAAGACTAGATCTTACAGCATAATATTGCAGTCTGGATCCAGGGGAGGAATAAGATCTCCTGAAACCGCAATGTGTAATCAATAAACAGAAAGCACATCAGCAAACCAACCAATCAATGAGTTTACAGTTGTTACTGCCAAACAGACGGGGAAGGATTTTAAGCCTAATAATAAAACCACCCAAACTTCAGCTGTTTGTGAGAAAAGACTGCACACCTTGCTATGGAGTCCCATATGCCTTTGCTTTCACTAGTTTCACTTAAAAGATCTTCATTTATCTTTTCTGCTTTTTTCTGCACCTACAATGAGAAAAAAAAAGACACAAAACAATCACGTGCTGTGTAAAATACTTCCAAAATCTTCTATTTCATTTGACCAATGAAAAACATAAACATCACTAATTTCAAAAATCTTCAAATATTTAATGTAAGATATACACTCACTCTGACTTTGATGATCTTACTGTGGAAACTGTTCAGCACAACTATAACATCACCATCATCCGCAGGGGAATCCGTTCCATCGTGCCTGAAAAAGTGGATAAACAGCAAGAAAGTGATTACTGTGACAGAGATTATAAAATCAGTTACAATGAAATCTCAGCAACTGATATGCAGCTGGTCAGTCTAACACAGGTGAGCCCCCACCTGGAGATTAAAACCAATTAACAGGCTCAAGAATAACATTTATCAACTGTCACAATAACAGAATTTACAAAATAAGAGCAATTCAAATACAGCCACAAAACATCTAAGTACACTGGTCATCTTTGTTTCTTTACTGGTTCTGACTATTTTCAGCATGCTACATGTTTTTCCACTGAAATCTGGAAACAAATAAATTGGCTATGGATATCACACATCATGGGTTAAATTCTAGAGGTGAGTCAAAAAGCTTTTTAATGAAATCATCTTAAAGTCCAACTGATTTTTTCCTTTTGCAATCAAATGTGATTTTCAAATTTACTGTTGGATTTTTTAAAATTAATTATACAAGTACAATTATACAAGTTCTTTGAACTAAAAAAAAGATCGTTGGAGATCTATCAGAAATGCTCCTTTTAATCTGCCAAGCATTCTGACAGGATAAACCAATGTATGTGTTTGATTGACAGGTGAGCTTGCCATACAATATAAACAAACTTGCACTAGTAGCTGTAGTATACAAGCTAATGAGAAACAACTTGTAGCATCTAAAACAGCCAAACCATTGACTATATTACCACTTATTCAAGTCTTTATATAATGTATGTGTTGTACATTTACTTATACAACTACACACTCAGTCTGACTTTGACTGGATGGCTAAATGGTGTGCTTGAGTTTCACCGTGTACATTTTTATGCCAGTGATTGTGGTTGGTCCACAGGTTTTAGCCTTGGCAACAGGGTGCACTGATTAAAGCACCAACACCAGCGACAGACCTCTGAACTACTGATAGTCAGTGAGAGCACACACTTAAAAGTGGATACAGGGACACCTGCTGAGGTCACACACTGACCATATTCATTACCCTCTATCATCATTAAGCATCACCTTACCATTATGTTATCCATCTCTACTTCCCAGCCATGCTGTATATACTGGTAGATTTAATGAGAAAGTCTGTGTATTGATTGTGTAACACTGGCCTTTCACGGTAATTGTTTTAGGACTGATTTGCCCAGTGGAGAATGTGTTTTGGCAGGCAGTATCTGCTGGTGAAACATCAGAGAGCGAACTTAAGGCAGAGACCAGCAATAGGCTATGATGCACAGCAAGCCATTACAGCCACAACGCTTACTAAAGGCAAAAAACTGCCCCTATGGCTATGATAAATGCTCCCTCCTCATTTGGCCCAAAGTGCATTCTATCCCCCCACCACCCACCCCACCCATGCTCAATTGCTGCTTGTGCTATACCCCCCCCTTTTTTTGTCACCGGTGCAACTCAGCCTTTAGGGCTTGTGTTAGAAAGCACCAGAGATCAATCTGTATCCCTTCTCTGAAGAGAGAAGAGCTGGCCATCTCATTCATCGCTGTCAGGGGGAGGCACAGTGGCAGTACAAGGTGCAAGAGGAAAACACTAGCTCTGGGACTGGAGCATGCAGACACTAGTTTCTGATCGGCCACCTAACCAGAGCAGAGCGCCGCTAACCACAAGAATAATGACACTGCCAAGGTGAAAAATGACATCACCTCTTAGCTTCACCTGGAGGACTAGGGAATAAATCTTGGTTGTCTGAAATGATTCCAGGGCTGTATGTGTCCTAAATCTTATGTGAGGATAGCCAGAGAGGACAATATCTGTGATTGCAGGATGATGCACTACAGCTACCTATGCAGACGCATAGAGTACATGGTTGGGATTACCACAACTTGAGTGTTAAAGATTACTGTCCTTGGTTATGTTTCATAGAATCAAATGATGAAGTACAAGAACCTTTAAAAAAGGAATTGAATTTGTTTTAGATAATATCACTAGAAAGTGTCAAAGTACCTTTAAATTAAATTAAGAGCGCAGAATTAAATAAATGGCCCAAGGACCTTTGTTGCATGTCATAGCCCCCTGTTCCTTTTCCTGTAGTATGATTCCTGTCTATCAAACAAAAGCAAAATGTGAAAAAAGTCAAGGAAAATTTCATTTTTTAAGAACATTTATCAAACCAACCAAAGCACAATACTGTTTCTATTTGTCCAGGGAAATTAAACAACACCAACGCACTCTGTCTAGTATATGCAGCCTTTGACACCCACGCCGTCCTAACTAAAACACATTCTGCTGCTGATATTCTGCAGTCTGAGGTAGATGGCATGGCAGGTGACCAGCTGAATCATCCCTTCCCTCTGTTTCTCTTTAATAGCACCCCTTTCCTCCTACCTGTCTCTCTCTCCGCTGTGCTGAGCACAACTCCCTGCACTCGTCAAAACCTTGAGTTGCTACAGTGTCAGCAGCTCTCCATGTTACCATAGTGATGGGTTTCATAGCTACCAGTATGAAATGGAGAAGTTGCTGAGAACAACCTTGATGCTAACCTACTAATGAAGCCACCTAATTAGCATCATTATCTAACTTTGTTTTCAAAATATATTAAAAGGAAACACTATAATGGCATTACAAATAGTCTATAGATATTGGTAAATACTCACGTGAGAATCTGATAGATGTCCTCTGATCTCCCTTTACGTAATCTTAAGATCCAGGCACCAGGACTGGCTTTCAGCTGGAAATATCCCTGTTGCGATTTAAAAAAAATATAAGTCTGAGTATTTATGGTAAGAATATATTTAACACTTGTTTTTCAGCCCTGGCACCGGACAGTTTGTGTTCCAAATCTGTGTCTTACTACTGTACTTGACAGCTATGACATCTATGTCATCTATCAACACAGTACAAGAAAAATGTCTTGATACTGTAACTCTGGTATGGAAGAAAGAAGACTGCTGACCAGGTTAGCCATGACAATGGTGTCATACATGAGTGGGTCTCGACTCATGCCCAGGGTAAACTGAAGCCCGCGGGGAGGCTGGCCAGTTGACAGGTCAAAACAGTGGCCTTCCAGCAAAAGGTGCTCCAGTTCATACTCTGCCGTCACAACCCCGCTCACCTGGAGCGAAACAGTAAATTGTAGAGGACAAATCAATGGGGGAATGATTAACAGAAAGCATCGCTACCCTACTAATGGGATGAGAAAGATAAGATGGCTGGGTAGCAGTGAATAAAAGGGCAGAATACCTCCTGCAGGTGGATATTATCCAAGTCATGGGGGCTGCGCACTGCTTGCACCATCCAGCTCTCCGGTGTAAACATATTAAGGGTGAGGAGTGGAGATTCTGGGAGCTCCATGAAGCGAGCAACTGGTCCTGAAGACACCGTATCGTTAGCCAAGAAAGTCACATCAGACTCCAAGACAAAGCGGTAAAAGCTGTGAATACAGACAAACACAGATAATCAAAATTTAAGTGCTCACCAAGTAACTGCATATTAACATGATATTTAACATTAAATGAGAGAAATGAAAGCCCTGAAATGGCAGATATGTTGCAGGACTTTTTGTCACCAGATTGAGACAACAATTCTATGCAACAAACACACTGTTCTCCTCAGCAAGCTCTAAAATAATGGCATGTTGTGCAATAGTCTCCTTTCTGAGACAGGAGAAATGGGCTCTGTTGTGACAGCTGGGTATATACAATCTCTTCAAAGTGAGGAATCTACGACTATTACTGTCAGTGTTCCTGCTCAGCCAACAACAGAAATATGTGCAACAGTCAATGCACCAGAAATGTTCTCTTCTCCATTATTACCCTAAGTTGTCACAGAGGACAGGTCCAGGTTAATCTTTATACTAATGGCTATTCTTCAGTGCACCCTCGGACACTGAGAAGACATAATGACTGTAAATAATGTGGCAGATCATAAGCATGACCAATTCTAATTCTTTGTACTGAGAATGCCTTCTTATCCTCAGAGGTACATCAACACAGTCTTTATTCACTAGGACATTTCTCAAAAGTTAATTCGCACCACAGGGGCTGTGTTTCTGTTGAAGAGGGGCTGTCGACTCCAAGCTGAGACTGGAGTTGCTACCAGCACAGGACTGTGGTGAGGAAATGGCTGTGGTTAAGGAGGAAAATCCAATACACCAGGGGGAACACATTGTCTTTATTCGATTAGTTCCAATTAGTGATGTGAAAAATTCACAAGAAGAAAACTGACACAAAGAAGATGATCAGCTGTGATCTTTTCTGCAGTTTTACCACTGTGACACATATAACAGTGAATAAAACAAACACACTGATGCAGAACAGGATTCATGTGCCCGCACTGACAGCCTCATCTCCAGGGGAGGGCTATATGATTACCAAGCTTAAAGCTGTACATGGGACCTGAACCTGAGAAGCTGAAACTTTGATTACAAAATCTGCCATTTTAAACTATACATCGTTAGCAGGATTTTTATGATGAGATTTTAAGAAAGTACAAAACGCTATTGCTATTTCAGTTTACTATCACTACAAATGACTCAAACTATTGTAGAACAAATTAAAAAAGAAATTACACAATGACTCCCATTCATACTGTGGACAATTTCTTTTTTTGATAATTTTGTTGTTTTTACTGCATGGTTTGAACCGCAACAGTGCAAGCTGTAAGCAATTTGCCCAGAGATGTGAGGGGAGGCCCAAAGCAATAAGGTGGTGTTATTAAGCAGATTGCATCTGTGCCATATAATCTTACAAAGGGAAGGAGCGAGGCAGAGATGCTAAGTCTGCACTGGTCAGAGGACACACAAACAAGCCAAACAGCAAAATTTAATTACCATTGGAACTAGTGCTTACCTCTTGAGGGGCATCTCGGACAACTTAGCCCTGCAATTCATAAACACCTGCAGTCTCATATTAACCACTTGGCTGAGCACCTGCAGAAGAAGAAGAGACCCAGTTAGAAATCAAGAGCAAAGCAGAAAGGGCACTAGTTCAAGACACACGCATTTCACTGAACAAAAAGACTGAAAGCAGATTATAGCTTCACTGCCCACTGCTAAATTCCTGCAGGTTCATAAATGACGATGCACAGATATTCTTACACAACGTCTTTCTTGGTACAACTGTGGTCGAAAAACGAATGAGCCACTGGTTACAGGCACAGTGAGCTGCTTTCCTCATGCCAAGCGGTAACGTTGATATGTTGGCGTGATACTTGCTAGATTACTGAAAAGTGTACATTGCAAACAATGGCTACTAAAGGTGGCTGTCTTTCTGACTATCTATAATGACAAGGTGAGTCATATTTTCATATTCACAAATAATTCACCACAGCCAACCTGCAGCAAGATGCTGCAGACAGCTAGTGAGAATCAGTGAAACTAAGCCCACTAAGAAAAATGTTTCAAACTAACTTTATCTGGTCAAAAAAGGCACATGTCCTAACAAAGAAAGGTACAGTAGCTTTCAGAATAAAGTTTTTTAAAAGAATTAAACCATGAAACATTTGATTATAATATCAATCAATCAATCAATATGAGAATGGGGGGGGGGGAGAAATTCTGAACTTTTGCACCTTGCAAAGCTTTGAGTTACCGTTTCATTCAGTACCATTAATTTCAATTCAAGGGAATTTAGTGTGCCCTATTTAGGGTGTACGAGCGAAGAATGCAGCTTACGATCAGCAAGGCGGACATCTTCTGAGCCTCCCTAGTGAGAGGATCAACGATGGCCACCACGTCATAGAGTACCTCATTTTCACGTGGGGAGAGATGAAGCACACTGAGGGAGGAGAACAGCATACAAAAGCAGATTCAGCAACACAAGGTTAGACAACTCTTATTCAGCAGAACTGCAAATCAAATAAATTTGCCTTGCTGCACAGCTTGAAATGATGGTGTAGCAATTTTCAGATCCATTATAACAAAAGAAGAACACCTCCCTGTGAGACTGCAGAGTCAAATAGACAGTAAACAAAAAAAAAAAGTTGCCTACCTGTGGCTGTCTTTGATAAAGTGGACATCCCTCCTGACTTCCCCTTTGGGGGCTGCAGTTAAGAGAGCATCAACTTTCATGACTAGGTCACTGGCACTAAGAGAAAAGAAGTGCAACAGGGTCAGTCCATCATTTGTTAATGATATGTGTTAGATGTCAAATGAAGCTCACAGTCAAGCTGTTAACAAGGCAGCCTCATAAATCAGTGAAGGCAACCTTTAAACTGAGAGAATCACGTTTTCTTCACTATTTTCATTAAGGCTGACATTAACAGAACACTTTCTTTAAAGATGCTCAAATGTGCCATCAGAAAGAGTTAAAGGTGAAAAGAAGATATTTTGTGTCAAATAACAAGACAAAAAAATACAAACATACTGCTTTGCCTTCATCCCCATCTGTTTAACTTTGGCTTTGACTTTCTCTGCAGAACTGCTCAGTGTAATCTTCTCCAGCAAGTGGAAATCCTCCACTGTGAATTCTTCCTCCTCTTCAAACGGACCAAGGATCTAGAGAAAACAATGCATTCATAACACCAACTCTACCAATTATTACGTCAGCATGTATTATATACAACTTTCCAATGTAATATGTTTTTAACACAGTGTTGTATCCACTTAAAGTCGAGGTATTCAGGGATGCGTTTGCATCCTTTCTATGTTGGAAGTAGAGCCCTGCCACTGCAGCAGAGTGATATAAAATGATATTAATTGTTACTGTCATCTCAGAGGCTGGTCTCTTCATCCATTTATGTCAGCATCGCTGCTGCTGAAACATCTGTCATCAGCTCTGTACACACAGTCAGAGCACACACACACACACACACACACACACACACACACACACACATGTACAGTGCCATTTGTGCCACCTGTGACCTTTGAGAAACTGACATCATGCTGATTTGACAGTTCTAAGGAAGCACTGAAAATACTAGAGGGAAACACCTCCACAGTGCGGCAGCTTAGAGGATTCTGTTCCACTGTACCAAACCACAACTGCCAATTTTTGAAATCAGTGCTTTTCCTCACTGACAGTATAGTCTATCCCACTTTTTAAAAGTTTCTATATTTTTTTATTGCAACACAAAATAGCACATTAACAAGACAGAGGACAGCACATGGAAAACGACGATATAGGACAATTACAAAGGGGACTTATGGGGTTTAACATTTGGCTTGTGTGTGTGGTGAGGATCTGTTCAACTCTATGCAGTCTGGTACCTGTGTGTGTATATCTATCTATCTATCTATCTATCTATGAAATAACAAATAATAATACTATTTCTGACCTGAAGCACCAGCACCGCAACAAGACAAGACCACTACTGGCAGGCTCCAGTTCAGCAGAGCGAGGTCAGCCAGGAGAGTGGTATCCTTATTGTAAGTTAAGTTAGACTCTCTCTCTGTTTCATTGTTTAGCATGGTTTCTCCTGATTGTTTAAACTGGGGTTATGCAGATCGGGGTCAGACCCTGACTTTAACAGGAGAGGCCAGACCCACTGCATGATGCATTGATGTATTCCTCTCCTAAACAGCTCCCAGACCCTGAGTACGGAGCTTGTCTAAGAGGGCTCAACAGTCCGGCAATGTTATGCGTGGTTGAGGGAAAGGGAGCAGACTTGGCCTTCCCCGTTCCACTGTTTAAAAATCAAATCTGTTAATCTGTGTTCTCAAGTAACCATTTGTGAAGATACTAAATGAACAGTGCTGGGGTTGAAGTCCACTCACCCTGCCGTTGCAGATAACTGCCCGTTGTCCAGGATTCAGTTTCAAGACGTCTCTACAGAACAGCTGCTGACTGCGGATAAAATCGACCTCCATTGTGTTGAACTTTTTCTCAAAGGCATCAACATCCATGCCCTAGACCAGAATAATGAGTTTGTTTAGGATATTACATAAATTGATTGCATTATTAAGTCACACAGTTCTGAAGAATTTGTGATGTGCTGAATAAACCAACAGTCTTGCTCAACAACCTTTCTTCCTTTACAGTCGGACCAAAACAAAATCTGAGTGATGCATTGGCGTAGGGAATGATGTATGTAAGGCAAAATTATTCACAATATAATTGATTCCTTTCATCAGTGCAATCACTGCAGTTTTCGAAGAGAAAATATTTCAGCCAGAGGACCAAGCTGTCAGAAATGCACATTAGTGAAAATGAGATTAATCAATTTGTAATTAATATAACAAACTCTTAATTAAGTCTCGGCCATTTTTGTCTATAACAAATTAGGTGTGGGAGTGTGGAGGGTTTGTGGAGTCAGGTTATTGGTTTCTCCAACTCATTCTCTCCTCAGGAGAACAGGTGAAATACCAATAATGTCAGTAGAATCCAGTCAGCAAGTCTGTCTGGCAGCCAATAATAAACTCATATCCCCTGACTCTGGGCCTCAACTCACACAGCCACCTCCTACCCATCCTTCCTTCTCTATTTCCAGTTCAATCTCTCCCCTTTGTTTAAGGCTGGTATAATTTAAGGACAGTTTGTTAGGGTTGGTCCCAAATGCAACCTGTGCTGTATGACGTTTTTTCTGAAAGGCGAGACAGGGCCTTTCCTGTCAGCTGATTTGTTAATTAGAGCCCGAGAATTTGTTTGTGCAAAGCAGCGTAGGTGGATATTGCACATTATAGCATAAAGAACACCAGTGGTTGTAAACCACTTACAGCAGCAAAGTGATGGTCAAGCTTGGCTGAACACGGGGGAGGGGAAACACAACCGAGAACAGCGACCAGAAGTCTGGCTGTTCATCCCATCCTGCAGACCAGTATTGTTTACTTAAAGATTCAGAGTGTGGAGCCTGTCTTGTGCTGGCCCCTGTGACAGATCAAGTGGAACTGACACTGAGTAGGCTGCTTGCCTTGACATCCGCAGACTGCGGCACATCATATGACCTCTAGAATGTATTCTGTTAGCTGATGTTCAAGGAAGGAATGAGAAGATGGGCTCATCAATCACCATTTTCCCCAACCGTGCACTTAAGCAAGCAGAATCAGACAAATGTCTGCAAGTGGTTGTATCCAACCTTTGCTTTTCTAGTTCTTACTATTATTTCATCAGTGCTGCCTAAAACATAATAATTTATAGTTCCAGTCCAAAATTTGAACAAACTTGTTCATTCAATGGCTTTGTCTTTGTTTTTATTGTTCTCTCCATTGTAGAATCTACAATGAAGATTAATACCAAAGACATCAAAGTAATAATAAAACATATGGAATTACATTAAAAAAAATGTTTTAAGATTTAAGTAGCTACTTTTTCTTTATCTTTGCATTATCTTGCCATTCTCTCAAACAGCTTCATGAGGTAGTCACATGGAAAGCTTTTCCAACAAATGGGTTCACACATATGCTGAGCACTTGCTGGCTTCTTTTCTATCAGTCTATGGTCCAGTTCATTCCAGATGACCTCAACTGGTTTTGGTCTGGTGACTGTAGAAGTCATGTCATCTGATGCAGTACCCCATTGCTCTCCTCCTAGATCAAAAAGCCCTTACGGAGTCTGGATGTTTTTATTTTTTCCTTATTGTCCTGCTGTTGGTTCCACTGTGAGCAAGCCAGATGTGACGGTGTGTTTCTGCAGAATGTTGTAGTAACTCAGTTGGTTAAGTGTGCCTTGAATACACCATCGGCAATGTTACCAGCAAAGCATCCCCAAACCATCACATCTCTGTTTTTATGCTTCACGGAGGGAACCACACACTGCAGATGGAGACATGGCAGTTTGGACCAGAGACCTCAGATTTGGACTTGTCACACTAAAGTACAATGGTTTACTGTCCATTCCTTGTGTTTCATTGCCAAAGCAGCTCTCTTCTTTTTACTGGTCTCCCTCAGTAGTGTTTTCTCCTGCAGCAATGAAGTCCTGATTTAAGCAGTCTCCACGGAACGGTTGATAAGGAGATGTGTCAGCTACTTGAACTCTGGGAAGCACTGATGTGAGCTCTAATCTGAGGTGGCGATTCCTGAAGCTGGTAACTAATGAACGTATCCTCTGCAGGAGAGATAAATCTTGATCTTCCTTCCTTGCTCTGGTTGTTTTGCGAGCCAGTTTTCTCACGTTTTATGTTTTTTGCGACTGCAACTCGAGTCCGAGTCCTGCTGCAGATAGGAGGTATCAAATTCTCACATATATACCCTGTAGTGACATTCATGCAGCCTGTTCTTGTCTGTCAGGATGTGGATCACATGTGCTACTGTAGAAGCCAAATATCATATCAGTGTACCATCTTGGTAATGCTACTCGCTAATTAGCTTACACTAACTAAATGTAAATAATATTTTTGATACTTTAAAGGAATCTACATAGATTTTCTACAAACCTTTTATTTTTTTTAAAAAAAGCCAAGGTTTCCAAAAGTTAAATATTGTCTAAACACAAGCAGCTATACAAAACCTTTGCCTAAAACAAGTTTAAACTGCGTAAAACTTTGATTTAAAGAACTTTCTGATCAAATTATTAATAGACAAGAACATGAATGTGAGCAAACAATCACTGCCATTTTTTTTTTTTGGTTTTTAATATTTTGTCATCAGCAATCAACAGACTATAATACCAAGCTGTACCTGAAATTCAGGTCACACAGTTCAACTTTTATGTGAATGTGAAAAGTAGAGAATCTAAAAGGTTTCCTTTTGCTTAAAATATAAAAGAAATTCAAATGAAACGCTTACCTGCATGAGTAAGTCCTTCATCTTGGTCCCCTGTTGGAGGAGTTGGCTCTTCTCCTCTTTCAGGAGTTTTTGCACAAAGTCTGCTGCAGCCTTATTCTTCTGGGTGAGGAAAGCGGCCCAGATCGCCCTGTACAGCACAGTGTTATCTGTGCTGGGCTTTCCACTGGGGTTATCTATCACTCCAACCCGCACTCCGTGGCTAGCCTTCTGCTTGCACACACACACATACACAACAGTGATATAATTCACACAAATATCACGCATTCTCATATTTCCAGACACAGCAGGTGTCACTGAGGAAGCGCACCAGGAGGAGAAAGTGTTGATTGCCTAAAAGTAACAGTAAAGGTTTTTTTTCTTTTTTTCTACCAGTAAAGAAACTTTTTTTAATAACCACCAGAAAATAAATGCCTTCTTTCTGTATTACACATAATCCATCTGCAAGGTATCAAGAGTGAACATTTCATTTTAGAGGCATATGTATTAATGATTTTTAGGCAGCACATTGCAGAAGATTCATTTTCATATTAAATGTACAAGTTTTTGTCATAAAAAAGCCTAACCTGATAATTATAATCCAAACCATCTCAATGTTCTTTATATCTTACATTTGTATGTGAGGTATAAATTTACAACAGACAAGATTTGTAGGCAGCCCTGTGAGAGACTGGCGCCCTGTCTACACCCCGCCTTTCACCCAATGTCAGCTGGGATCGTGAACCTATTCAGGAATAAGCGGTACAGATAATGGATGGGTGGACTGAAGTTTTGTAGGCACATTGACGTCAAGTGCTAAATTTGTGTCAAAGACAGCTCAGTGTAGAAAAACTGTACTAACAGAGTCAGCATTAATTTCTTCTAAGGATTTAAAGCTTGCAGTATGACTAAAACTAAAACATTTTCACTGGTGTTAGGACTCTCAATTTCAGTACAATAAGTTCAATATTGATGTTTTTAACATATAATACACAACACACATAACTACAGACTATATACTGTTCAGTCAGGTCGTTCCTGTTAAAGAGAGGTTCCCTCTCAGTGAAACTGACCTGAATAAATAAAGGTTAAAAATTACATTCCCTTAAACAAAACATGATGAGATAAAAGGGGAGAAGAAGACAGAGTTCACTCACCATATGTTTCAGAGCATTGAGTAATAACTTTCTTCCTGAAACCTTCTCAACATCTCCAACTATCCACATGGTCACAGTACTCATCCCATCCGCGCCTAACAGAAAAGAGCCACAGTTCTATAGTACTGTAAACCTTTACATATCACATTCAATTTTATCTATCATTACTCAGATGTAATATTTTCTTTATTAATGTTGACTGTTTTATTACAATAAAAGAACTCTTGTACTGGAATCTGTATCGGAATTGGCTGTTGCGTATTGTAATACTCAAAACATAGCCTAGTGAGCTGCAGGCTTCAAGCCAGATGGATGACGCTGTGGAGGTGCACATCATCACTGTTTCATTAAGACAAAAAAAACAAAGAGGTTCTAAGTTGGAATTCTTATGTTAACTTGAAGGGTCCAAGTGTTGGAAAATGATCTGTTTACCCTTTCCTCAGTTGGATATAATTACCAGGCTATGGTTTCCAAGGCCAAGCACAACTTCCAAAGCCATAAAGATTATCCAGTACACCTGTCTTTCAAACCTTTCAATGCTCATTCATCCGTCGTCTCTAAACAGTGTATACAACTGTCAAACTATTGCCAAATTAGTCCAAAAGATCACAACAATGGCATGAACACAAAACAAACAGCCAATCCATTGGAGTGCTTTTTCAAAGTAGTGACCCCTTAAACAACCCCAGCCAAAGAACTTTAAGTCCTGCAGAAAATGCAGGACTTAAAATGCAGGGATGCACATGATCAGTAACAGTACGCAGGCAGGATGCCCACCCCATCACCAACAATCATTATACAATGAAAGTCATTTGGCTCACATTTGTTCCCTTTTCTGATCTTTGGTTTGTACAACACCTGGCACCTCTTGATCATGCAGGCATGAGTTGGTGCCAGATGACTGGCTGATTAGACAGTTGTATTAAGAAGCTGATGTACAGGTGTTCTTAATAAGATGGCCACTGATTATATAATCAAAGCAAGGGCAAATGTACTATTGAGCTCTCAGTGTCAACCTTGATGCTTACATGGCTTTCACAGAGAGCTAGTTATACTTTAAAAGTCTTCATCCAGCTTACACACTGACAATCACATGAAAGTGAGAAGGAAAATGAGATATAGTCGTTTCAGTGAATGTTCAGTTTGTGTGTGTGAGAGGCAAGGGAGAAAGACATCTGGCAGAGAGCTGAGTATATTAGAGGAGAATTGTACCACCTGTCATAGTTACATTCCCCCCAGCCAGTCAGGCAGTCAATCAGTCAGTAAAGCAGGCAGTCAGTCAGTTAGCTAGACCACAGAGGGAGGATGGCAATCAGTGTTCTCAGCCTCACTGAGACAGCTACACTCTCAGCCTGAGCAACTCTGACGATCATTTAGACTGTTGGCACAAAGCCAATCACCAGACCCGGCAATTATCTTGCTGGAGGTGCAGCCTGTCTGTCTTAACAAAGGTCAATTTCACACTTTCATAAATCACTAAAGCAATGTAGGTTTAATGTCTGTTTAGATGTTGCTCATTTTACTATTTTTCATCTAGCAAATGTACTATAATTGCTCCAGTTTTAGATAAGAAAATGCAAATGTTTCAACAAGTTAATATTGTTGCAAATCACTGAGTTACTGAAAACGACTTAGTGTGCATTTCTGCAATTGTGTTTGCTGGGAAAGCAAGGCATGAAATAACAAGTAATGCCTTACCGGTGTTTGTAAAGTACTTCATTCTCTTAGCCATCACTGCTGTTTTGTCTCTGATGTCCAGGAACGAAAACATAGTTGTGTCTTCCCAATCATCTACAACTGCAAAACGAGAAATAAAAAGTAAAAACACCAGAGGAATATAGACAGTTAATCAATACTGGGTGGTGTAAAATGAGTAGCACCGGTCACCTGGTGTGGCAGTGAAGTCAAGGAACTTGCGGTCAGTGCTTAAAATAAGAGGGTTCATCCTGGGAACCACATTGGCCTGCTCCATTAGATAGTCCACCACATCTGAGCCCTCAGTTAACTGACCCTGTAAGCAAAGGGCAAAAGGAATCAAAGTTATACAGGATATTATGCATATTATGTTATGTAGACTATAAGCATGAACAAACTGCCGCTAGTACAGTTCTTTAGTGTTTGTTTACTTAAATTCACCCACATATATATTAACCTAAACGTTCTACTACATAGTACAAAAATTTTATTTTGGTACGTTGAATATGGAGAGAGTGTCTCTTTCTGTTCAGATGTATCGTACCATAAAGACAGCTCTCTGCAAGGTGGTGGTGGTATCCATTATGCGCTGCAGGATGATGGTTTCCAGCTCATCTGGGTCCATCTCATCCGGGCTCAGAGGGACTCCATTAAATAAAGCCAGAGGTAGGGCACCCAGGCCGCTCTTTTTGTAAAAGAGGGCACCATCCTGGAGCAAAATCACAGACTAAATCCTGGGCTCTTGTTCCTCATCAATCATTCATTAATTTATAATTACTAATGAGCACAAAGACAAAACAAACTGAATTTCCTTACCATTCTTTTGTCATCATACTCCGATTCTACACCTAGAATCCTTTCAGCATTGGCTTTTGGGAATTTTCTCTTCAGGTAGTCAGTGAGTGTATCAACAGACAGCGTCTCCCCTACATGTACTTTGCTGTACAGCTGCAAGGGAGTGGAAAGTCAGAGCAGATTTGACCGTTACTGCCACTGTCAATAATTTCCAACTCTGTTTGAAAGAGCTGAAACCAGGGCAAAACCCCACTGACTCATCTAGTTCAATAATGTCTCAAAGTATGGGATACCACGGTGCACAATAAAACAACTTATTTCTGAGGCATGAAGAGATACGAGCAGGCAGAGAGAGTGCTTTAGTTATGCTTTAAGAAGTGCTCGCTAAAACAGCTAAGATTTATATATGCGATGTACTTACTGAGACCATGGTTACAAGAGCCTGGGATAAATCGTACTCGTCTGCAATGTAATTCAGCAGTCTGTAAAATCCAACTCCTGCATCTGAGAAGCCATCAATATCATCTTTGGTGTTGACAACAAACACAAATCCAATTCTATGGAAAGGGGACAAAACCAAGTATTCAATTTGCAGGTGAAATGAGAATCACTATCTGGTAAAGATTTTAAATGCCAAGAGCAGATCACATAAACAGCAGCGGAGGTGTGAGAAATAACAGCACCAACCTCAGGGGAATCTTGTGCTTGTAGAAAAGCTCTGCTAGTTTCACCAGCTCAACACTTTCTTCCTGCAATGGATCTAGGAACAGCACCTAACAAACAAAGGCATAAATCGGATAACAGATGCAAAAATACACCCAGTCTTGTATTGATAATCAAGAACAAAATGACATATTACAAATGTACTCTGTACAATATGCTGTTTTGTGTGAGTGAGTTCACTTAGTACAGTCAGAGTGTTATTATAGCAAACACTCCACAATGTGACAGCATTTCACAAGGTTCGGTTAAGTCAGCAGAACAACTGTACAACAATGAAGACCATTCTCACTTCCAGTCCCATCATCGCTACTACCACTAGCATTTCTGTTTTGCCCTCACCAGGTTGAAGAAATTGCGTCGGATCTGCCGGATGACTCCAGGAAAAGTGGCTCTGAGAAGGTCCTGTAGACCCGCCGGCCACCCGAGGTACGTCGAGTCATTCTCTATGTCATTTATCCACTGGAAAGCACAGGATAAAAAGAAATAAATTCATGAATTAAGTGTGAATAAAAAAACAGCAACCCTAGAATAAGTAGAGAATCAATATCTCACTCGAGCATAGTTCAGACTGATAGAGCAGAACAGTATTTGCTATGCTGTGATTGCATTTCGTCTGTGGTTATGGCAACAGTTCCTACCATACAAAAGAAATCCAAAATAATTGATCCCTCCTTATTTAGAGTTTTTGTGTGTTTCTAAGGTTGTATTTTCAGTACACACATAAATGCGACATGATCACGATACCCATTTACAATAAGTGGTTTATTCTGATATCTAATGGTTTAGTGGGGCCTATACATAACTTATGTTTTTTCATTCCGTGTCTGTAACCTCCAGCAGAACGACCATCTACCTCCTGTCCTGACACCAGTCATCCATTCGTAGATACAGTATTTAATGTCCAATGCAGGCACCATTGAATTCCTGGGCGTGACAGCTACTATGCCCTGTATTTGACATTAATGACTCACTGTGGCGACAAGCTTATCCTGGTATTTATCAAGAGCTCTAACATACTGCACAGTGTTGCATTTGGTGACTTTTTAAAGTATCATTTCTTTACTGTGCAGTATACCTGGAATATTTAATCACAAAGTATAAAGATTTGTGGATTCAAACTAAATGTACTATAACTAGAATAGCCTATGTTGTAGAAAATCTACATCTGATTTCTTACTGATAGTACTACACTACACTGTTAGCCTCAGGATTACATTCACACAGTGTTTAAAATAAACCTTTCAGCCCCTGATTAATATATTTGAGGCAATATGTTGTCTCACTGTATGTAGACCGTGTGTATGCTCATCCAAAATACAAGCAAAATGAATGTTTCAAGTTGATATTAGATAATGCAGGAGAAGCGCGTTTCCCACAAGATGAAGAGATATCCGTAGTTTTCTTTTTCTCTTGACTGATTGCACTTTTGTAACTTGCTCCTATCATCTTTGTGTCAAGTTTAGCTGTGGAACGTTCTAATTGGCTATGATAGAGAAGCATCAGAACGTATGACGAACTTAACTTGGGATTCACTCTCATGGATACTCTGAGGGAGTGTGCCTGCTTTCAAGTGCTAATAAAGAAACAAGAAAAGGAACCTCTCTTCTGAGTCATTCGTATCCTGCCTGCTCAATAGACAGGTAATTTTGCACATATTTAATAAACTCAGTGTTATATGATGCTGCAAGGTATATCAAATATTTTAATTTGATGTGTTCTCATTGTACACTTGTTACAAAGCTCTACCATTCACCATCAGAGAGAGCTATTAGATATGATGTTTATAATAAATGTCCAAAACCAAAAATGCTAATTGATCCATTATTGCTGGTCAATTCGGCACTAACTATGGTCTTTTACTCTGTAACAATAAAGCCTCCCCATGGTATAACTGTCATTATTTCTCTAACACTCGGTGTCTCTTTCTTTCAGACACATACTGTGGATACTCTCTGTCTCTAGAAGGGGAGGTGAAAGCTGAAATTATAGACATTTTGGTTGAATGTGGACATGTTTAACATCTTCAGTTCTTTGGCATTTTTATAGTACTTAGAATATTAAAATGGCCACAAGGGCCAACATTATAATTTGCAAGTTTTTAATTTGATAGCTTTTCTTGGCTAACTCTCCAGTTAATAATTGAGGTTTCTGGCAAGCTCGAGACTGTTGCAATAGTCTAATGACTGATCCACTGAATCACACCCTAGTGCAAGTACACAAAGAAGAAAAAAAACACCTGCAGTGTTGATCTGATGAATTATTCTTCTGGACAGGACTCACCATTATTGCTGGGTGTCTGATATCTAAGGCATAGTTGTCATCCACAGCATTCACAGGTAACCTCAGCATCTTGCTCTGATATTCTCCTTTTATACCTAGGTTATGAAGCCCCTCCAAGACCCTGGCTTCTCCTCTGAGGATGTCCAAAATGCTGTAAATGCAAAATCATGTTATTTTCTATACGCATATTACTGCAGATGTGTAGCAGTGGCTTTAAATTGCAGCCAACTCTGATCTTGTTGCAACAGGGTTACTCAGGCGAAGCATGGCTCTGAGGCTTCCTGGGGAGAGCACAGGCAGACCACCACTCCCTCCTGCTGGGTTCCTACCTGAAAGGGTTGTGAATGTCCAGATCGATGTGCAGCCCATTGATGAAGAGCTCCCCGTCTCCTGGGTGAGCGCCAATGGTCTCACTGAGATGCTGAAAGAACAAGCTCAAAGCGTCAGTCGGATGCCAAAGTCCCCTAATTGAGTGATTCTACCTTTCGTGTTTTATATTTTGATAAGAAAAGATGTGCACAGAGACTACAGCAGTAAGCAGAAAAGAGAAAGCCTGCACAGAGACTAGAAGAAAAGTAAAATGTCAAAATTGACATTGTAATGGAATTTATTTCAGACAGATTAGATTCTCTTAAATAAAACTTGTGCAATAACTAAGGTAGTTATTTAAAAAAAAACCTCCTGCAGTATCATATGGGAATGCTGCTGATGATTTCGCACCTTTTGGTTCTCCTCAATTTCTTTTCTCATTTCCTGCTTTACAGCCACTCTTGTCAGTGATCTGTGGGAACAGTAAAACATGTACAGTCACCATCAGCTTTTACCACATCCCCAGTCAGCAGTAAAATGCCACTTTTAATCTCCAAAAACCCTCAGATGGTATGTTTGCAGTCTATTCACTGTAAACACCAGACTCTTACTCAGCACTTTTTGGTGTTATTACAAGATGCCTGAGCGAAAACAAGCAATGTCAAAAAGCAGATTAGATCTCTGTATAACAGATGTATTTACTGTGGACACAGGGAAGAGTAACAATGCTCAAACAAATGGGTTTATGTAAAGCATATTTCCTTTGCACTTAAATGATAGCATTTGTTGTGGATGGATTCACACACACTGTAATACAGAGAAGGGTGCACAAAAGCTGGATTTTGGAATGGTACCTACTCAGCCGGAAAGAGAAAAGAAGATGAATTTTTTTTACCTGGCTTTGCTTGGAAAGTTCTGACTCAGGTCTCGCATGAGTTTCAAAGCATCAAACTTTGGCACGGAGATGATTCTGGCAGCTGCCTGGAAACTCAAATCTGTAATTATCAAATAATTAAATCAACACTTATACATCTACATATATGCATGTGATATTTAGATATTAAATCCATGCAAGACAATCAGTGCATTTTACATGGCATGTGCTCCAAGACACTGACAGTGTTAGTAACTGTTAATCAATGAAAAGGGTACAAAACTGTACAAAATAAAAGCATCTCCTGCCACAAATGGTAGCTATAATATACGGTAACTCCAAAGCTAAACAACACAACTTCCACATTGCAGTTACTAAGCATTTCAACTGTTATGATGAACGTCTTTTCTAACAATCAGTAAGTAACTCAAATAGAAGATCAATACCTTGCATTTCCCACACTTTGAGCGGAGCCATATCATTTGTACTCTCCAGAAGATGTTTGCGAAGCTCAACAAGTTGCTCCTGCAGCTCTGGATGAACTTTCCTTAGAGGAAGTTTAAAAAAAGGAAGACACAGATTTAACACAACAATTTTAATTTTAGCTGCAATTCAAAGTCTCACAAATCACAGGATGCCAAGCAACAACAACAACAGAAAGTACAAGAGGATTCAAATCATTTGCAATTAACATGTTATGGTTAAGCTACTTACTTTAATGTTCCAAAAAAGAATCCTTGGACTTCATCATTATCATCATCCTCAGCATTTACTGCCTTTGAATCTACAAAGCAAAATAGACTGTGTCTAACTGCTTTGGACACAGCGAGGTCCAACACAGAATGTTTAATAAGTTACCAACTGACCTTTTACTTTGGTGTCATCCACAGCTTTGTATTCTGTGCTTTTGATAGCCAACTCAACACCATAGCCAGATAAAAGCATATTTCGAGGCTTTGGATCCTGCAGCAGTAAGAAGCAGAGTAAAGACCTAAATGTAACAGTGTACAGTTTATTTTACATACGCTAAAGTCATATGTACTGTGATAACACTCATTAACACTACAGACCCATCCAACAGGGGATACTTGCCACCTACATCTTACAGTATATGGCCAAAATGATGTGGACATCCCATAATTAGAGGGTTCAGCTGCCTCAGCCATACACATGTTCATAAAATCAATCAAACAAAAATATATTTCATTAAATGGCCCATAATGAAGAGCTTAATGACCGTCAATGATGCCATCTTTCCAATAAACCACTTAGGCTAGTGCCACTGTCGCCCTGATCAACAGTAAGGTTAACTGCTGTTATGAAGTGGCAATGTCTCAAAGCAAGAACAGCTTAGCCACAATGCAGTAGGCTGAGTGCTGACACACAAAAAGTAACTTGTCTATAGTTTCAATCACCAAGTTCCACAATGGCTTTAGAATCAACATCAGGAGAAGAGATATTTGCCAATAATCAGCTGGAAAAGTGTAAAGGAGACCCCCATTGGACTCTAGGCAGCTAGATGACCAAATTTCCTGTCACATACCAGGAGAGCCTACTTATCTGAGTGTAAAGATTGACTGTGCAGCTTGTTGGAGGAGGTATTGCTGGTCTCTATTGTTTGGGCAGGGCCCTCCTGACCCTTATCATAACCCTATCTAATCAGCTTTGGACATTGTTTTGTGAAGCCAGGTCTTAAAATGTGTGTTCACATTCTTTTGATCATGTTAGGTACTATATTATGTATACTGTCTATGAGCTCCTATATGTGTTTGTGTGTATGCTGTTTGTTAATTGGAAGGGACTGTTCAATACTACACTCAGTGAAAGTTCTAAACTATAAAAGCTGCCTGCCAGTGGGAACAAGATGTACACGGTCCTGCTGCAGGTACATACAAGAGCAGACTGACTGACATTCAGCCTTGACATTAATGTCGCCCAGATTCAAAGCACTGTCTCAGTCTTTCACAAGCACAATCAAAGGACTTTCACACCCACACACACATGATTTTTTTTTCAGCACAAAGAGAAGCACCTTCTACTCCTGCAAAGGCATCAGTTTATAGTTGTTAAATTTTGAGGAATTTGATAATTCTTCTTTTGAACATTACGCAATAATGCGATCTACAGTTAATCGCTTTGATGATCCTTGTTCTTCAAGCATTTCACAAAAAAACTATCACTGTTGTATCTCTGCCATAGTGCCATCATCCAAGTAAAGATGAAACAACAGAGGTCTGTGGCACAAAGAAATTGGACTTTGGCTGTACAGACAATACTTGTCAGTGGGATAACTGCTGTTTTTATTGACCAAAAAAAATAATTATACAATATCATAACCCTTATCTTTTCTCTTCTATCTGAAAACCAAAATATATGAGCACAAGTTAGATTACATAACATATCTGCTGGGAAGTCAGTGGACTTCTGACTGGGTGGAAAAGCATTGCTACTCACCGCTACAAAATGTCGAAGCACATATATAAGTTTGCCCTCTTCAGCCTTTTCTGATAGCACCTTATGAAAAGAGGCAAACTTCTTGGTGCCAATCTCAGCATAGAGAATCACAACTGGCACATCTGTTTTAACAACCCCTGGGTATGTGTGATCATTCTTGTATAAATATGGCTTTGGCCTGCAAACATTTGGAAATGGAATGGCATGTCAGGCATAAAATAATTCCAACATTTTTACATTTGTCAGAGGAAAAGTTCAGTCAGTGAAAGCATCAAAGAATAAAATTTTAATAATAATATAACTACATCATCTTCTTATCTTGTTCTGCTCTAAGGATTCATTTAATCTACGGAGAGGAAGACAGAGACAGTCCATGTTACCTGCCTGCAGCTGCTTTAACGAGCTTCTTGATGTCCTTCGTACTGCAGCCATGTTGGCCATGGATGGAGACAAAGGCAGGACAAGCCTCAGGTGGAGGCTCGTCACTGGCTATCTGTTCAGAGTAGAAAGGAGAGAAATGTTCTGGCTAATGGCTACATATCAGTGCTAATACAGCTAGAATCTGGCCCCCTCTGGATATCTGAGCTCCATACCCTCTCTAAGGCTTAGCGCAGTCACCCTACAGAGAAACTGAACCATAGTGGAGGGGTTCATGTGCCATGGGAGCAGTGTCGTCAGGGGCAATAGCCCGGTTCCAGTCACTCATAGCAAATTGGTCCCAGGGGACGGGCCAGAAAAACAGCAATTCCAAGAACCCCATTGAGTTACACATTTCAGAGTTGTGTCACCGTACCCAGATTAAGGAAACCAGGGCTCTCTACTGGACCCAGACTCGGGAGGGGAGCTTATATGTGAGCATCTGGTGGCCAGGCCTTGGCCCATGGGGCTTTGTCAGGCAAATCCCAAAGAAAAAATGGCATGGAGGCATGCTACCCTGGGGCCCTCTACCTGCAGGGATAGGTATAGGGGTTTGGTGCAGTGTTGGGCAGCAGGCCAGTTCAGGGGTGTGGGCATGTTGATCCCTGGCATCGTGGACTGGTTCTGCAGCATCTCAACCCTAATTGATTTATTCTCAACAGTCTCCAGCGGTCTCCACCCTAGACTACACTGTGAGGCACAATCACTTAATTTCTGCTGCAAAATGCCATTACACACTAATATTTCACACGTATTTAAATAAGAGAAATTCATCACCCAGTGCACTGTTGTCACCAAAATGAAATGTCTCCTTATCACTGAAACCAACATAGTGAAAAGGCTAACACTAAGGACTGTGTACACAAGGTGCACAGGAACTGCACAGAGCCACTTAATATTAAGGTCAGATTTAGTTTACAACCAACTCAGTGGTATCCATTTCAAACTTATATATAAACAACAGTTTCAATTAAAAATGCTTCTTCGGGGATCTCTCAGCATGAACCATGTATTCAAGTACTCCCTCTATTTAGAGTACCGGTATGCACTTAGCAGTAATACAACATACAGTAAAGACAAATGTCTCGACACAGTAAATTAATGTTGTCTGCCTGTTCCATATTCAGGAAATGTGGAACCTAAATCTTCCCTACAGTATGCCAGTAAATTACCTTCAGAAACCTGGAAGCTAAATATCATGACTGCAATGGCTGATGAATGTCAGAATTGTTTGATTTGAAATTCAATTAACTTTTACATTTAGACAGAATATGGAATGCTTTGCATATAAGGATATCCACACAAAGTATGTTGCTATATAGATCTGAGAGAGAGAGAGAGAACAAAACGCAATCTAATCGATTTTGATCACCAGCGCTAACTCGTCATCACTGGATCAATTGCGGATAATTACGCTTACACATTTGAATTCTGGGAGAAACCACAAAGATATGCAAGTTCTGTTGTGAGAAAATGAGTATCGATGTGGAGTTTTTAAAACAGTGTTTTGAGAATAATGAGTGTCATTTAAAGACTTTGCCAAAGTAATTGAGAAAAACTGCAAGTAAGACCTGCAGAGCACTCTTGCAGACAATGAAACAGCCTCTAACAAGAAACAGACATTGCACTCTTGTATTCCCAGGTTGCTTTTACGAAGGCTGTATAATAGATAGATCCTTACTATTTTGACCACAACATACCTGCTGGGATGCATGAACAGCTGGTGAGTAGGACCGCAAGGCCAGAGCAAACCTGAGGAGATTAACTTGAAGATCTGAGAGGAACTGGCCAGCTTTTTTAATGACCAAGTTGTAGTATGAGCGTACAGACTCTGTAAGACACATCAACATTTGTAATAATCAGACTATTTACATGAGAAGCACACCTGGCATGGTGCAAAATTGTTTATAATCTGTTATCATACTCCTCTACAGTTCACATACCGCCTTGTTTGTATACAGTGAGCTCCTTCACGGTGTCAATAAACTGCCAGAATTTCTCATTCCCATCTTCTCCAATAAACTCACTGCACAAAAGAAAATGAAAGCATTAAGTCACCAACAGTCAGTATGCACCTACAGTAAGTAACAATATTCTGACTCCCCAGCTGTGCAATCATTTTAGATTTTCTGGTAATGACAGTGCCCAACTTGTCTTGGTTCCATAATGCCTGCTATCATCAAGCATCACACAGTACTACAATCAGACAATCAGAATATTTTCACACACAAAAAATATACAGTATGTTTCTGATCAAAATTTTGAGCACAATTTTATGTATAGTAGGTAATTAACCATTTTAACAATAAAATAGCTTTACACTGCTATTTAAGTCCATTTAGGGACACACATTTAAGTTTTAAGACCACTTGAGGGCAATTATTTAACCAATTGTTAGAGCTTTTGGGATGGCACCCATGGATTGACAGATAAAGGTAAACTTAAGATTCAATTTTTCCACAATAATTAAACAATTTTAGGGAATGACACTCTTCACTTGTTCACAGCCACTACAATGTAAGCTCAACGACTACCAAGACAAAACTGTGTTCAAACAATCTGAATAATTTCTGTTTTTACTGCCAGGGCCATAGCTGCCATTGAAGACAGTGAGGTCACATCCTCACTTTATGTTGGTAATTCATTTATGAAGCATTTTCACTATTGGAACCTAATGAGTGGTATACCCAAGCAGCAAACTCTGAGGCTGAAAAATGAATGACAGTGTCAAAACTTGCAGTTCCTTGAATGGCCACTTGAAACTAGCCCCTAAAAGAAATCAATTGCCATAGACTCCCATGTTAAAATGCCCAACTCTACAGCATAAATAAATGTGTTTACAGCCTTGTACAAAAAGGTTCTGGTCTGTATAGCTAATTTCCTCTTCCATGACAACTATACAAGGGTGAATTTTTTACAGCTCACCTGTTTAAATTATACTGAGACTAAATGTTACTTATTAATTAATGGTGTGGCCGCTTTGAATGACAAGTGGGAAGGTCCAGCCATATGAGGCTTGATGCTAGCTGTCTAGAGAGCTCCACTCACATTCCATCTCTTTGCCCATTTTTGGATTAAACCAAGCAGACTAAGTGAAGTGCTGCAAATACAGTGATGGTCAGAGTTGAGCTTCAAAACCGCTTTAACCAACGGGTGACAGCACAGTGGGTTTGTCTAGTTTTTATATACGGTCGCTGGATATACCCCATACTTCCCTTAACCATCACCAAGCATATCCTCCAGAGTTGACAAGCACCATCCTTTCCACTGTTTTTCCACTGTATTTTCTCTGTGTTGGTCACTGTTAGAGGAAGAAGGGGCTTGTAATGCTAATGCTTGAGGTGTGAAGATGAGAACATTGAACCAATCATTGGACCGCTCTGCGCGCAAGCATGCCTCCCCTACCCCCCATCCTGGTACTTGAATTTCAGTAATACACCTTAAGGGGTGCCCAG